GCTGTCCATTTTGACTGAAGTGTTACAGGTCCCATGGTTGTGATCATGCTGAACAGTCATCATTTACATCTGTGGATTAAATTTAATTGAATTTAGAGATGTCACTGCTGGTTAATTACATCCAGCAGGACTTTGTCTATTGGTGCCTGCTGTTTTTATCGTGTTAATGCATTCATACAATATACAGTAAGTTAGTTACAGTGAGCTGTGTGACTGCACATGTTAATCCATCTCCCATGTATTGGGGAAGAACGTGACATTAATATGCATGTATGATCTAACCACCTATGTGTGTCTGTATATGACTAAGTGCATTTAAATGCAGCACAATACTGTATAGTTGATTATAATTTTTATTTTAGTATTTTGCATTAGAAGAAAGAAGAAGAAGAAGAGGAAGAAGAAGAAGAAGAAGATATACTTTATTGATCCCCTAGGGGAAATTGTTCTTTCCACTCTTTTTTTTTAATACACACACACACACACACAAATGCAAACTTCATGCACTTGTGGACATGCAAAGGGGAGAGAGATGGTGGAGTGATGGGGCTGCAATGTTACCGGTGCCCCATGAGTATGTTAAGGGGTTAGGTGCTTTGCTCATGGGTACCTCGGCAGTGCACAGGAAGTGAAACTGGTATCTCTCCAGCTACCAGTCCACACTCCATATTTTTGTGGTCTGTCAGTTTCAGTTGATGGTTACTGTGCAAGCTGAGTAGCGATGGAATATATGGTCTATCTAGAAACCAGGTCATGCAGTCCAACTCCTGTGATAGAAATGTACATTTCGTGCTCATACTGAAATTACAAGGTCTAAATTATAAATGTACCATTGATAGCAAATTCAATTAGATTTACCATTATTAATATTAATAACTTCAGTAACATGCATTGAGGTTCTCTCAGATTCACAACTTCAAACAATAATGTAGTGTGGTGTGATGCCCCACTGGCTTCCCATTAGCAAAACTGTGTTTATTGAAACACTTGACGATGCCCTTTCTAACCCACATTTAACTCAGGTCTTTGTGAGAAAGACAAGTAGTATTAAGTCCAAAACAACATACAGATACAGAGTAGATGTAAAAAGAATTTAAACAAAAGTATTCAGTTATCTTTCAGTATGTAACATAATGAGCCACTTAATTTATGTTAAAAAAGGACAAGAAAACATTAAAAGATGACAGAGAAACAATGTAGTGTGACAATGCATCAAAATAAATGCAGGATTTTGGTTTCCGGTTATTGCTGCTCATGTATAGTCCACGACCATCACCAATCATTGAAATTATTCCTGGAGGGAGTTTCTTCTGTGCCTTGTATGTCTCCGTATTTCATCACCTCTGAGATACTTCAGGCCACAACTGATGATATCTGCCCCTGGTCTGACTACTACCTCATAAACACAAACACACACACACACACTGATACACGCACATTCACATATACACGGATACACATGGACACACAGCTGCTCACACAGACACATTCATCATTAATAGTATCATTTATTTTCTCACCCTACCCCCCCCCACACACCCCCCACCCCCACACACACCCCCCACCCCCATGAACATGTCAGTGCTGTGACGTATTGCTGCTGTCTGCTCAGTATTCATGTGGAGCCTGCGATCAGAAAATCAGATAGATCAAATTTTATTCACAGAGGTGCACATGAATGGAGTCGTCACACTCTGCGCAGTACAAATAAAGAGAGCAGAGAAAAAATATAAACATCTGCAGTGTCACAATGTCAATGATCTGTGGTATTTAATGTGATTAAATGTCTTGTCTTCAAACTCTTCATCAATGTCTAACACCCAACTAGAGCCTGACAGATACTGGATTTTCTGGCCGACACAGTCTATATCCAGCCTTTGCCACAAAAAAATGTGTTTCTACATTTTCAAATGGGGGGAGCAGAGAAAGGCAGGGTTTTGTCAAGTGGTCAGGTTAGTTCCAGAAGTGAACATCAACTGTTCATGTGCGGGCACTAATCTGGCAGTAAGTATAACAGCGTAAGAGCAACTCTGGTGCATGTACAGTACAGCCTCACATTGTTTTAATAAAGAAGTTATTCTATAATCAGCATCAATGTTTTTAGGTTGTTGTGTTTTAAGTGTAGTGCTGGTTGCCTCGGTGAGGAGTTGAAGGTATGCAGCCTGTGGCCTACAGATCTTTATGCAACAGCTCAGTGCAGCTAATCTTTTTTTCTCTATCCCTCCAATGTAAAAATTAAAGAAGACCCACTGACAAAAACAGACAGTCAGTGGGACCAGTGCATTGTGTTTCTGCTGTGAGTGCTTCACAATAAAAGCAATCCAAAGCAGTTACTGGTACAGCTCTGAAATGTAACCGTGAGGCTGATATCAATGAGATAACAGTAAAGCTGGAGAACATGCATTGCTTCTTGTAAATTATGCATAGGTAGCTAATTGAAACCTGCACTCTAACAGCCGATTTGACAGTAACAATAAAGAATAAAGATGTGATTTTGTCAATACATTAAACTGGCATTAAAAACTGGCTTTGTTTAACAAATTTCAGCAAAGTGAATAAGATCAATTTTGTATCAGTTCAGTAACATAGTGCTATCTTCTTTATAGAAATGGTTGCTGAGGATCAGGGGTCATATTTTGTACACATAAAAAATATATTGCTCATAAAGCTAAGTCATTTATCACTGATGGCCCTAAAATAACCCCCTAAATTTTCCAGCAGACTTGTGTGTTGCTGTGTTGGGAAACATTAAAGTTATCGTTATCTCAAATAAACTTTGAAAAAGTTTCAAATACAAATAAAACAACAAACAAGCCATTAAAATGTACATATATATCCATATATACATTAAAAGAAAGAACAATTTCCCCCAAACTGCTGACTGTGTGGGTCCATCAATGTGTTTAAATTTTCAATATGGATGATGAAAATGGTGGTATGAATAAAATAAAATGACACTGGTTTTATCCTCTAAACTAGCGAGCTAAGACAGAGTGACAGCCAGAAGCAAAGTTAAGAGCTTTTTGTTCTTTTTATTCCGACTGAGAGCTGGGATTTCTAATGTGAGACTTCTGTTTTATCTTCACTCACTTTACTGGAGGAAAGAGTCAGTGACATGCACCGAGGCTTCCACTTCACTTTACATCCTCCTCTCTGTACTCTGGCTCTAACTGACTGAACAGTAGGTATTTAAATGTCACCGGAGCTTTCATGAGCTACTGGAAACAGAGATTTTTATTTTTTTTATTTTGTAAGCCTTCAGTTTTGTTTCGCCTCCCAGACATGATTCTTTAAAGAATTCTGATTCAGTATATATATATATATATATATTATATATAGCATTTATTTGTATTACACATATTATATTTACTTGTTTGTGCATGTTTTTTAAAACTTTAAATACTGGATTTCATCTTGTCTCTACAAGCTAAATTTCAACAAGAGTCAAATCCACTTGGGTAACAAAAAACAATGAAAAAATGAGAACAGAAGTCGCTCCACCTGTAGCAGTCATTAAGAGGAGAGTTATCTCTCCCACATGGGCGAGTCAAAGCTCCACTTTGCATAAAGATATTTTATTTCCCTGACTTTTCGACAGGTTGAGCTGTGTTATGAAGAGCTCCCTGGAGGAACGAGAGTGTTGTAAATATATCCAGACATCAGGGAAGCTCAACCATTAAATGCCTGTTTTGCTGAAAAATACTCAAACTTGTCAAAATTGTCCTGCCACGATTAAATCTGTCCAGGCAGCTTCAACATAAATGACCTAAATAAGACAAAGTTGTGGTTGCATAATTAAAATCATATGTATATAAGTATTAGAGTTTTCCCTAATGTTTGGACAATTTTTATTTTTCCTTTTATTACTTCAGTATTTACAACAGTTTAACAAATATTGTATTTGACAAGGCTGGACGTTTTTGTTGAAACTTGAACATGTGTCACGAAGTGAGAGGTGTTTGGATTCCCAGCGGGAACCTTTGAAACATATTTAGTCATGGCCATTGATTCTGCACCTGAAGCTTTGTTGATTTGATGTACCTGAATGCTTCAGTTTACTCAAGCTGAGCTGCTGTATTGGCACTACAGTCAATCCTCAGGGTAAGGGCAAGCCCAGTAGTATAATAAAGTATTTTATGAAACTCTAAAACTTTTTCTTTTAGCTATTGTTAATTATTATTAGTAATTAATTCATTCTTAGCATCGAGACTAATTTCTTTCCATAATTTGAAGACATCTCAGACTTTTCTCAGGCACAGCTCCTCATTGTCCTAATGCTAACATGCATCGGCTAACATTTAGCAAATCATACCTGTCTGTCCATCCATGACGTATTGTTTATACATTGTAAAGCCGTCTGAAAGAAAAGCAAAATTCTGGGTTATAAAAATAAAGTTGACTGCACATTTTAGTATGTGGTTGAAAGGAGTCCAATGTTATCTGACTCTTTATAGTTGCTTGTTTGTAATGTTAATCAGTAAGTAAAAAAATTGTACTGGACCAAATGTTATTTTAAATACACACATACTTTATCCTATCACAGATCACCATCCTGTTGCTTCTCATTTGTAACCCTTAGTGAGAGTCACCTCACTGCCTACTGGGGGTCATGAATAAAAAAGCACGATTGAAATCCAGTCTTCCAAACAGACTGGCTGGCACAGTAAACAGAGCATGTTTTTGAGTTCATGTTTTTCTGAACTCTCTGTGCTGCTCTGAGGTGCTATAGCAGAAGCTTTAAATGTATTCTTCCACTTCATGATGAAATAACATTTTAAGTTTAAAAATACCCTCATGATGTTCCATCACAGTATTCTTCCCTATCAAATGTGAGTCCATGTTATCAGTGAGGCGAGGTGAGTTGAGGGCCGCCGTGCGTGCTGACTGGAGCCGTATAGATTGGCGGAGTCTCAGAGATTATGTCCATTGATCGGACAGGAGGGGTTTGTGGTTTCAATTGACAGCGGCCTCCTGTCTGATGTTGTGTTCTGTGTTTTCAGGAGCCGAAGGAGCCGTGTTCAGCAAATCAGTGGAGACGCCACATGTCAGGGCCGAGCCGTTCAAAGAGCTGAGGTGAGTCGGCATCTGTTTTAATTATAGCACACAAATACACATGTAAAGATGTGCAGGGAATACATACATATGTGACAGCACATATGTACATAAACTGAGGCCAAAACAGTGCGAACTGTAATCGATTTGTTCTGAGAGTAAACTGCACAAATACTGCAGCACTTTTAATGTAATGCAATATTAAACACCTACACAAAAAACAAATGTACCAAAACTTTAGCACACACATACGTGCATTTAAATAGATGCAAAAATGTGTGAACTGCGTAGAGATAATTTGGATTAGTCCATTGACAAACAAATATCGTCAACAATGTTGTTAATTTGGATATGCTTTATCTGCATGAGTGGGTATTAGGGGACATTTCCTAAGGATTTGTGTACCTCCAAATTGTTCTCCCTCTAAGGCTTTATGCTGGTAAAATGGAAGAAAAGAAACTCTTAAATATTGTGTGGTTGTGCTCATATGTATTTTAAAGTATAAAATATTTAAAATATGGGAGGAGAGATTTGAATTTATACTGAACCTGAGTTTTCATTGCTGACCACTACAGCAGAGGAAATTAAATGAAAAATCTAACATCAGGAAAATACAGGGGTAAAATCTACTGATTTTGATCAGTTTAGACAATGTAAGCACTTTTGCAAAAATGTTTTATTATATATATATATATATTTATTATAAAGTGTCCATTCAGCACAACAACACAAGACAAAAAAAAATCACTAATACAGCAGGCTCATCTGTTTCCCTTAGTGGCATCCTTCCTCTGTATGTTTGTCCAGTCTGCTGTTATATGATTCAAGAAGCCAATTAAATACCTATTCAGTTAGACCACTCGTTTTTATCTGTTTGCAGCAATAATCTAGTCAGGTACTCACGCACACTTACACTAGCTGAATTCTACACATTACCACTGCAGTCTAATGTCCCAGTACTAATCACAGAAACCCCACATTTTGATTGTAATGCCAATATTTGAATTGATGATGCATGGTTTATTGATGAATCATCATTGCCTTACTAATGGCTTCAAAACCAAGTTTGATTCATCATATGCATTTACTGGCCCTTTTTATTAATATAATTTTGCCCAAAGAACTCTCTGTGCTGTGTCCACAGATTTTGTAGTAAAAGATTTAGGATCCATAGTATGAGCTCATTCCAACATTTGTATGCCCTTTTTTTAAATTGTGCAGATTGTATTTGCACGTGTTTCATAAGACTTCCTCAACTTATTCAAGTGCATAGAATATCTTGGCACCTTTCAACTGACAGGGGAGAAAAGAGGTGAAAACTGGGTAAAGAGGCAGGATTTAAATGTAGAAAATCTATGAAGAGGTGGAAAGAGTTCTTTTCCATGGGCAATTAGTGCCCCTGTCCAGTAATGTCTGTCTGTCTGCAGCAGCCAGGATCAGTGCTGTGTTAAGTAATCTTAAGACATCAATGTGTGACCCCCACCTGTGAATCTTCCTTTTCATCTTCATCAGTCCCTCAACCTTTTCTAAATGAACACTCAGTTCATTAAAATCAACAAACATCAGAGCAACATATCCTGTATCAGGGGGAAATGAACAGCATAAGATGAGAGAGAAGACTAAAGAGAAGCAGAGAGAAACCAGAGGAAGATTTGGCTAAGAAGAGATATATAGAGAAAATCTGAGACATGCTGTGAGGGTGAGGGGAAGAGGTGAAAAGGAAGCTGCCTATTCGCAGAGCCGGCCCTAGCACTTTTGGAGCCCTAGGCCAAATCTGTTCAGGAGACCTCCTGAAGACTCTCAGACTCCTTTTAAGTGCATTTATAATACAGTAGACTATAACCCTGGTTTATCCTATACACATAATTATTTATATTCACATTATATGTCCATTGGAATTAAATATTGTGTTGCTCCGTGTCTGCTAGATGTATAAAGGGGCAAATGTTTGGTAGCATGTCAACTTCTATATCTATATACAGTATATATATGAGGACTGTGTGTCTGTCAGCTAATTGTTCAGTTCTTCTGACCCTAAGTAGCCAGTCTCTATGTGCCACAAGGGATCAAATGGCAGCCACCTTTCAAGAGTTTGAGAATCACAAGACTTAAGACGGACAACCACTTTAAGATGGACAGGGTTCACAAGTTATCAGCTCCTTGACAGGAATCAGTCAAATTCAACTCTGACTGGTTGTGTGGCTGCATCCTCCTTCATTCTCCACTGCTGTATACATGTCTTGTGCTTATATATTTGTGTGTGTGTGTGTGTGTGTGTGTGTGTGTGTGTGTGTGTGTGTGTGTGTGTTTACCATGTGTGGGCAGCCAAAGATGTCTCCTTGGCGTAAATGTCTTGTTTATCATCTTTCTCCCGCCTGCTGTCAGATGTGATGACAGTCAATCAGAGCAGAGAGAGGAAGAGAGACCCATTGTGACAGTGGCGAGAGGGATGTTTATAACAGAACAAATGAGAGAAGAATGAGATAAGAAGAAAAAAGGACAGGTAGAGAGAGCTACAGCGTGACAGTGAAAGAGTGAAAAGGGTAAAAGTAAATGACTAAGACAAGACAAACTGTGAAATAGAAAAACTAAATCCATGCATGAATTGTTGTTGTTTTTCTACCTAGTAATTAAAATATTAACCCTGTACACATGTGTTTTCACTTATTTTACCTGATTAGAGCTCTTCTCAGTACGAATGGGCATGTATAGACTGTGCTTAATTGACATCTCTCTCACACCTTGCATCTGTTAAGTCTGGTAACCACATATAGTTCCCAGCATAGATCCACCCACCTCCAAGTTGCAGAAGTTTAGTCAACCAGAATAACTAGAAACACCTGTGAGGATCTTTGATGCCTGAAAAACAAAGCAAGTAACTATCTGCTTTTATATGGCGAAGTTAGTGAGTTAGAGACTTTGGTCCACAGTAAAATATGTAACAACTCCTGTCCACATTTAGAAGATTATTTTTATTTTGGTGACCCCGTGACTACAGCCGTTATTGAGGCAAAGGTTTCATTTACAGTAACAAAGAAAATGTAACTCATAATCTATAAACATACTCACGGTCCTCAGAGGATGCTCCATTGACATTTTGGAAGCATGATTTTTTGTCTTGCAATACCGTCAGCAAATGTTTTTCGTACCCAAGGTTCTTCATAATCTAAATGTAATGTCCACAGTCAGGCTACCCAGAGGACAAACACCTGTGATTTTAATGGCCTTTCCTCTATGGCCACTCACAGGGCAAACCTTATAATTGAAGAAATAGATTGCAGAAAAGGCAAAGAGACAAATGTATCCACTAAAAGCAATGTCAAAAGAAGAGATTTACACAATGCCATATGTTTTGGCAAAATGTGTTCAACTTCACTTGTCTGGTAATGTGCTTGTTTTGCTTCATTCTTCTTCAGGACACTTTTACGGTAGACGACTCCTTCTCAATTCCCCAACCATTTATGTTCACTGCTCATAGCTATTGCTGTTCTTCATTGCTAATTTGCAATGGTAATCTGAAATGTGATACTCTGCAACACATGCTAATTAAGTTTCAGCATGCTTATTCAACCAACGCATTTTAGCACAGGGCTAACATTTCGTCAGTCTTATACTGGAGTAAGGTTGTAGGAAAGAAGTTGTTCTCAGTTCCCTGCTACATAACCAAAACCAAGACCAACGTTCATCCCCATAAATAGATGCACACATACATCTGTGTTTGGGCCCTGGACACTTTGAACACCATAGAAACAACCAAGTCACACCCTAACAACCTACCCAAACACTAAAACACATGCAGCCATAAAGCACCGTCCTAAAAACCAGAAACACCCTGGGTAAAACCAACAACAAATTTCAAGCAGGAACCAGACCTAAATGTTCTTTAGAAAATTGCCACATTGTTGCAGTGACTGTTTTGTGACTGTTCTGTGACTGTTCTATCTATATAGCACGCTGACATTCTTTGATCTGAATTGAAAGAAAGCATAGAGGGAATGTGGTGGAAAGGCTGTGAAGTGAAAATAAGAAAATCTAGAAAGAAGAAAAAGAGAGATGACAAAAGTACAAAGTGTGAAGATTAAAGAACAAGAGGGAGTGAGGAAGAAATATGTGAGCAACAATAAAAGAGCTTGAAAGGACATAGTATAGAAGACTGGCAAAACCTAAACACCACCAAAAAAGGAAAGAAAAGCAATTTTTTGTCAGAGAGAAAGGCAGGAAGAAGTACGTGAGTAAAAGAAAGAGAAACAAGGGGTTGAGACGTAATACACAGAAAAAAAAGCTCTAGCAACAGAGAAGAAATGCTGCAGAGATGACAAGACAGGAATTAGGGGTCGGATAGAGAAGGACTTTGATGACAAATATGTAATAACAGTATTTCAGTGGTGTGTGCACTGAGATGAACTGTGATTCATCAATCACTGCTGCTTTCCTCTCAAAATCATCATTTCAAACAATAAAAAGTGGGAAAAAAAGTCCCGTCAGTGCACAGATCATTTCTGAGCGACGCTCCAAAGTCTCTCATCATGTGATTGTCCGTATAATTTGACAGTCAGAGTCTACAGCGATGTGTTTTTTCTTTTCCTCTTCCCCCAGGTTTATGCATCTTTGGTGACAACTATCCAATTGAGAATGAAATATGGCACAAACTATCCAATTATGTCAGAAAAGGGGCGCGAGCTCACTGGAGCATGGCTAAAATCTAATCTTACTCTAATCTCTCCCAACCCCTTGGCAGGTAGCAATTGAGGATTCAAATCCTATTTCGGGATATCACATTAACCCCCAACACACACACAAACACACGCATCCCACCCAAAGCTGTCAGTATTTTATCGAAACTGTAACCATCATATCCATCTGCGTAGTAATGCCTTGTCAACAGGATGTGTCCTTGCATCAGACAAACGCCTTTGTGAAAGTGAAATGGCAGCGTGGGTGAATTTGATAGTCCACCTTGATTTATGTCCTGACCAATTCAGAGCAAAGATAACCAGAATAAATATGAAGCAATAAGAAGG